TAAAAGGCATTACAGATTTCTTGAGATGACCCCGATTTGAGCTCTGACAAGTAATGGCTGAGTCAGAACATTGCTATGTGAAGTACTGTGAAGAGTCTTCCAGATGTCAGTTGTTCTAACAGGGGACCGTTTATTCAATACTGGGGAGAGCAGTTGCATCAGTGATAAGAGTAGGAAGAAATGCTAGAAAAGAAGAAATGGTTCATATTTGCTTGTTGGTGAAGCAACAAGCAACACTAAAATCTTTCAAAGCTTGTGACTGGCATTCACTAGTGAAGTTCAGTACAAACTGTGGCTCTCGCACCAGCACGTGCACAAACAAGAACCGATTTATTAAACCAAAAATATACTAGCCACAGACTAAACTGCACAGTTCTCCATACTCCACACTACAATCCCTTACCATAAAAAGCTGCCACGGTAACCCCAGGGTGGGGTCGGTAATAATACACATGCCTTGAATGCACAATCCGTAAAGGAAGTCCTTTGAGAATGTCTTTTGCAACAACATTGAGTGTCACATCTCTGTCTCACTTAACTGATACGTGCTTAGGGCCACCACAGCTGTCGCGCTTTAAAACAAACAAACTGATCTCAGCTTTTAGCTGGCATAATTCAGCAGCAGAAAGTTACACATAAGGCACTACTTTAGTTTGCATGAGCTTCCTGAGCTTTAAGGAAAAGAGAAACCGAGACCAAAATAACTCACCTACAACTCTCAAGTGTCACCCGCAGAACATCTTTGTCACTTAATGAGTCTGTGAGCAACACAATACTAAACTTTACTTTTTTGGAGGATTATTCAACAAAATAACTTTGAAGAAAAACAGTGATATTTGCAGTGGCATTGAGCTTATCGTTTGTACTGATCTTTACTAGAGTTGACAGTTGCTACTTCGGAGAGTGGACTACAACCTTTGCCATCACCTACCACCTTACTGCTTTTGGTGGAGACTCCTGTACCTACATCAGGCTAAGATGCCTAAGCCCTCAATTTAATAGCTACTACACTTGCATAAAATCAGCTCTACATCACACATACAATCAGGTCATTTTTGATGGTGTGTCACACTTGCTGCGTGTGCCATAGAGTAAACTGAGCACAGGACCTGTCTGTTTGAAGGCTGCTTTCCTGATCACGTATCCCAACAGACACAGGAATACCGGACTGCTGAAACCATTAAAAATTACAGCACAAAAAGCAGATTTTATTCCCCTTAAGAACAGCATAAAATAACAAAAGCATGTGAAAACAAATGTACTCCCAGACATTTCTGCAGTGGGTTCTCCTAAATACTGCAGAGCAGTGAGAACAGCCAGGGTCTTGTGGGGCTTTCCTTAGTTCGCCTGACTTTGTGCGCCCATTTCTCTTCGTTTCCTAATCCTGTTCCGACCTTCCTGGAAATAGCAGTAAGCTGCAACGGCAGGTTGTGACAGCAGATATGGGGCACGGGAAACAGGCCTCAAGTCCAAAGCTAGGAGCTGGATCTGGAGATGCTATAAACCAATGATTATACACTGATTACAGCAGGTATTAACAAGCCTAGCAGGGGTACATGAGAGAACTAGAAAGATCTCTACATATCAGAGGAGGAGGAAAGCACACAAAATAGAATTATGAAATTCAGGAAACAAGTTTCTGCCATAATATTCATGGTATAAATACAATTTCAGAGAGAAACTGCCTTCCAAATGGTTAGTTATTAGCCTTTCCAGGCAGAAGACATCTCCTTTTTAAACAACATCTTCAAAGCCACTGAGCCTGGGACACTCTTCATAGAGCCTGACTTGACCATTTCATTGTCCACAACCGCACCTGAGTATCAATCAACAGCACATCAAGAGTGGGCAGTTTAGACCCATCCTCTCTCTTACCATCAGTGAGAACCTGAAGTTCTCACTGATTTTTAACAGATTTTTCCGCTTATGTGATGGGAGAGGAGACAGAAGGTCTTCTGGACACAGCCACAGAAGAGATGAATCCCTGTACTTTAGAGAGAGACTGTCAGTTTACTCCCACAATCACCTAGACTTGCCAAACAGTGGTCTCCCACGGAAACTTTTTGCACAAAAGCAGGAAGAAAAATGCACGTTCAGGAAACCACTTTCCCCATCCTGCTTCTTTCTGTTCCAGCCATTCCCTTCTCTGACACTAGTGCCCATCTCTAGAAAGAGCCTCCCTTCTACACCAAGCTTTACAGTTTTACTCCCTCAGACGCCTTTCTATGTCCAGTAGTGTTATTTCCCAGACTGCTTCCTTCTTTTAAACTTCCCTTTCATTTCCCCTTCTTTATCTCCTCTTTCTCCATATTTTCAGCCCCAGCTCCCCAAGATCCTGCTCTGTTTAATGGCCTCCTCCATTTATGATCTGACCCTGCATTACCCAGATCATGTTGTGCACTCACTGTACTCACTGGCAGCTCTCTACATCAGGGATATTTTAGCCAAGTGAACTCTTTATTCCTACATATCTCCACTCTCCTGCCACAGTCTTCATAACTGGGTGAGCGTGCCACCTCCACTGGGCACAGGTCCTGTTGCCAGTGAGACTCACAGAAATAGAATCCCTGAACCATCTGCTCAGGAGGGTTGAGGCAAAAGGGTTGCACAGGTGTCAGGGACTGAGCTGTAAGACAGGTCAGCTGTTTTGAGGGGGCCACATCCAGCCCATCAATCAGGAATTGCCTCTCCCCTAGGATATGACATTCCAGGAAATGAGGTAAACGTGAAGACATTTGTTGGCTTTACCCTCTCTTTTCAGTGCTCTCTTAGGTCAGCTTTGAACACCTTATTAGAAGTGCAATAGAAAGCATCCTATTACTTTTCTAATATCCCTTTCTCCATTGCGGCCCCAGTCTTCAGTATTATACTCTACCACAGGTACAATCTTCTAGCATTAAAAATTTAAGAAATGCTTTGGGATGCAAAGCATATCAACAATTAAAAATAATCAGTCCTTCTGCCCCAGCAGGGGCCAGCATGAGAGGCACTGCATGTCAGCCAACTGGAAAAGATATAAATAAATAAACTGGAAAACCAGACCAGAGAGAGACCTCAGAGAAGTCTTTTACTTCACCGTACCTCCTCTTACTCCCACCTCAGGCCTGGCTTTACCTAAAGGAAATATCTGGCACAAGTTTGGTAACTGCTTCATGGACAGCACAGCTACCTATGCAGAACTAATAAACTACTGAGTGGCAACCTTAATCAGCTAACCTCCTCAAGTTCCAAATCAAAACTTGGATCCACCTGTGCTACCACCCAGTGTCAGACAGACACAAGCTCTGTCCTCAAAAGCCCAATCTCCAAGGCTGTGTACCTACCATGCCCAGGATCATTTGCCCCACTTCCCAGAACTGCTCTTTAGCCCAGGGCCACTGCTGTGATGATAGAGCTCCGCTACATGTCATTCCAAGACTAACACTATAAGCACTACTATGCAAAAGTAGCTCAGGCACCACGCTGGACTGTACACCCCTGCCTTCTTTACTTGCAGAGTACTTACCACAACAGGACTCTATTTTTATTTGCAACCTTTGACCGCTTGAGGAATGACAATGGTAAAAATAAGAAGCAGTGTACGTGACAGAGCTTGTATCAGCAGATCTGGAAAGCTCCATACAGACCAGAATCTCCTTTGAACATATATTCTCTTGCTACAGTTATCCTCAAAACCCTTGGGACCAACACTGATATATATATCACAACTAAGAGGTCTTCAGGCAGCTATAACTAACTTCCACATTTATTTATTCTAATATCATCTGCTGGATTCATAGCATATATTTTATCAATCTGCCTCTATGAAACAGTCAACCGCACAAAAGCATGGCTGAAACACAGAGCAAAAGCCATTGCAATAAATGTAATTAGTACTGTAGCAATAGCATATGTACTAACTGTACTTCACTATGAAAGCTTACACTGATCGCTGCAACATAAAAACGTCCATTAAAATAATGTTAATTGTATTTATCGGTACTGTATTTCATATGATGTTAACTACAGCTGTTTCCTATGCTCTGTTAACACAAAACCAGGATGTATCCAATTTTACAGAAATCCTCACAAGTCGGCACTGTCCAAATCAAAGGAGAAAGTTTAAAAATAAAATTTCGGTCCATTTGAGATGCATGCACACATAGGAGCCAACATATCCCCCAAATATAAGAGCAGATAAGAGTTTGATGCACGAAAATCACCATAGTCTTTTTCTTCCGCTTTCTCTCAAGATGAGTGATTTTTAATTGCGAAATAGTATTTTTACAATAATTTTCTTGGTGTTAAATTCAGATCAATACAGACTAAAACATGCACTTCAAATTGAAAATACAGCACAGAATTCCACAGTTGTAGCTCTCAAATGCACACACCTAACTTACTCTGAACTGTTTATTAGCAAGATGGCAGATAATGACACAACTAATTGCCCAGCAAATTGAGGGACACGCTGCCAGTATTTTCTAATGAAAGCTTAACTAAATTCATTTAAGTCTTGAAAGACTTATTCTGTTTTAAAATATATTTGGATTAAACATGAGGTCAATGTATGATTTCCTATGGGTTTTGGAATCATAACAGTGTGTTTTACGTGGTATGTATACTCTTCTTTCATTCCAGGAACATGCAGAAGACTGCAGAACCTGAAAAACCTTGCTATTATTTTTAAAAGGTGAATAATCACACTAACCATGACAAGATGATTACAGTGCTAACCGTGGAATCTGATTTATCTTTAAAAAGATCAGTTTAAATCATCAGAAGCTGCATTTGGTTTTATTGGAGATTCATCACATTGAAAGCTTTTTGAAGAAAACAACAAAAAGAGTTTTGTTTTAATGTTAAGAAGGGTCAGACTAATAGACATAAATTATTTTAGTGCCTTAATGCACCAAACACCTGTGTGCAGCTTTCAGTGAAGTGGCTGAATTATAGATAGTTTTAATTTCTAAAAGGCAAAGCACTTGAATATAAAGATGTAGACGACTTGTCAGACTTACTTAGGACAATGAAGCTTGTGCATGTGGAAATTGTCATTGGCCAAAAGGCAGACCCAAACTGCAGATTCCTGAACATCATCTCAGCAGTTCCCAACATCTTCCCAATATACTGACAGAGATGACATATCGTGTAAGTGCACCACATGGTTTCGGCAAGGAAGTCAATTTCTAGCCTAATGTGCTCATCACATCAGTTGTGATTCTATGATTCTAGGACACTGTTCAAAGAGGACTTGGGATAATGTATATTTATTTGTGAAATGAACCAGTATATCTGACAAACAGAGATAAAAGCCAAATAAAATAGAAAATTTAAAGAAAGCAATGACAGATTTTGATATTAATCTTCAATTAATACTTGGGTATCATCTCAACATTAAGTTCCATTAGCATCAGCGGAAATTAAAACCGGGCAAGGCCAGAACATTTTCCTTAAGCCTACATCATTCTCTGACCTGGCTTTATCCTTCCCCCCCCCTCCTTTTTACAAATGACACAAAGGGGAAATCAGGTGCAGCTTTAGCACTGTAGCTTTACGCAGTCCTGTGTCGGAATTGCCGAACTCCTGAATTGCTTTTCCTGTATTAGACTTTTTTGGTATTTTTTCCTGGCCTTGATGGACTTGTGATGATCCCATCTCTGGAACCTCTAATGATTCCCATTCTTTAACCAATCACTCCATAGCCTTAATTATATATACACTGAACCATAGTAACCAAACATGGAATGGAACTCTTTAGGGAAGCAGAGTTTAACCATCAGTTCTCCAAAACCTGCAAAGGTTGTTGTTTCAGTAACTTCAACCAAACTCAGTCAGTACATAATTTCATTCTTTTAACAATCAGCTTATCTGACTGGAAGAAGCAGAACACATAGAAACTTTGCTGTTACTCATTAAGTAAGAGACATTGAAGCAAGAATCACATCATTAATTCTAGGCAGAAAAAATGCCTAAGCTGTTTCCTTTAATTTTCACGTAGATTTCTGTGTTGTTCTTTATTGAATTATGGAAACATGAAAATTCAAGTTGGTATAGCTGAGTAGTCTAGCACATACAAAATGCATTTAATGTGAATTATTGCAGGCACTCGCAAATGCTTTTATAAAGCAATTACAGAACCTTCCACCTTTGTGTAAGTTGTTATTTCCACCAACAGATGTGTAGAAGAATTAAATACAAAATTAATTCAATGTAACAGAATATAGTAAGAAATCAAGACAGGACTTGTGCATACCAGTATCAAAAGCCTGATTACTCATTCCGCATGTCAAAATCTGAAAATGAAGGGTCACTCATACTGTAGACTAATTACAAGAGCATATGTAAAAAGATTATTAGAGGTCTTACATGTCTACCTTCCAGAATCGTACATCTCATGCCAATATTTTTATATTTTTAAAAATTAGTTTTCAGAGTATTGCTTTCAGGTTCTTTATCTACTTTCTGCTTTTAATAATTAAAAAATATGAAAATATAATAT